ATGGGGCACTATTCCTGCCTCTAATGCCAATGATGGGGCACTATTCCTGCCTCTAATGCCAATGATGGGGCACTATTCCTGCCACTAATACCAATGATGGGGCACTATTCCTCCCGCTGACACCGATGATGGGGCACTATTCCTCCCACTGTTTTGCATTGGAAGAGGGGTAGTCTTATACGGCGAGTATAGCCCAAACACTACATTTTAGCAGGAAAAGTAGGGGGTCGTCTTATACGCCGGCAAATACGGTATATATAATCTCCCAGAAGTGAGTACACCCCTCACATGTTATATATATATATATATATATATATATATATATATATATATACTGCCCCAAAAAATTAAAGTAACACTTTGAATACACATCAGATCTCAATGGGGAAAAATTTCATGCTGGATATCTATACTGAACTGATATAGACTGGGTAATGTGCTAAGAACATATAGATGCCCCATCATTTGATGGAAATGAAAACTATCAACCTACAGAGGACTGAATTCAAAGACACACTGAAAATCAAGGTGAAAAAATTAGACAGCAGGCTAGTCCATTTTGCTGAAATTTCATTGCAGAAACTTAAAATGGTACTCAGTAGTTTGAATGGCCCCCATGTGCTTGTATGCATGCCTAACAATGTCAAGGCAGTCTCCTAAAGAGACGACGGATGGTGTTCAGGGGTATTTCCTCCCGGATCTGGACCAGGGCATCACTGAGCTCCTGGACAGTCTGAGGTGCAACCGGGCGGCATTGGATGGATCGAAACATGATATGCCAGAGATGTTTAGGTCAGGTGAGAATGGGGGCCATTAAATGGTATCAATTCCTTCATCTTCCAGGAACTGCCTGCATACTCTTACCACATGAGGCCAGGAGGAACCCAGGACCCACTTCACCAGCATAGGGTCTGATAATGGTCCAAGGATTTCATCCCGATACCTAATGGCAGTCAGGTTGCCATTGTCTAACCTGTAGAGGTCTGTGCGTCCCTCCATGGATATGCCTCCCTAAACCATCACTGACCCACCACCAATGCTCTCATCTGTAAAAAGCACATTGCACCAGTGGTTGACCTGCCAATTCTGGTGTTCAATGGCAAATGCCAATCAAGCTCTATGGTGCCGGGCAGTGAGCACAGGGCCCACTAGGGGAAGTCGGGCCCTAAGGCCACTTAATGAAGTATGTTTCTGACTGTCTGGTCAGAGACATTCAGACCAGTGGCCTGCTGGAGGTCATTTTGTAGGGCTCTGGCAGTGCTCATCCTATTCCTTCTTGCACAAAGGAGCAGATACCGGTCCTGCTGATGGGTTAAGGACCTTCTACAGCCCTGTCCAGCTCTCCTAGAGTAACTGCCTGTCTCTTGGAATCCCCTCCATGCTTTTCAGACTGTGCTGGAAGACACATAAAACCTTCTGGCAATGGCACATTAAGATGTGCCATCCTAGGAGAGTTGGACTGCCTATGCAACCTCTGTAGGGTCCAGGTTTCACCTCATGCTACCAGTAGTGACACTGGCCCTAGCCAAATGCAAAACTAGTGAAAAAACAGTCAGAAAAAATGAGTAGGGAAAAAAATGTCAGTGACCTCCACCTGCACAGCCATTACTGTTTTGGGGGGTCGTCTCATTGTTGCCCATCTAGTGCACCTGTTGTTAATTTCAAGCAACTGAAACTGATTAACCCCACCTGCTACTTAAAGTGGAGTTCCACCCAAAAGAGGAAGTTCCGCTTTAAAGACTGGCTCCCCCCACTCTCTATTAAGGATTGGCATATTTGGGGAGTGACCACCATTGATTGAGGGGGAGGATTGTTTATAGCCACTGACCACCATTGATTGAGGGGGAGGATTGTTTATAGCCACTGACCACCATTGATTGAGGGGTAGGATTATTTATAGCCACTGACCATAGTTGATTGAGGGGAGGATTGTTTATAGCCACTGACCACCATTGATTGAGGGGGAGGATTGTTTATTGCTACTGACCACCATTGATTGAGGGGGAGGATGGTTTATAGCCACTGACCACCATTGATTGAGGGGGAGGATTGTTTATTGCTACTGACCACCATTGATTGAGGGGGAGGATGGTTTATAGCCACTGACCACCATTGATTGAGGGGAGGATTGTTCATAACCACTGACCACCATTGATTGAGGGGGAGGATTGTTTATAGCCACTGACCACCATTGATTGAGGGGGAGGATTGTTTATAGCCACTGACCACCATTGACTGAGGGGGAGGATGGTTTATAGCCACTGACCACCATTGATTGAGGGGGAGGATGGTTTATAGCCACTGACCACCATTGATTGAGGGGGAGGACTGTTTATAGCCACTGACCACCATTGATTGAGGGGGAGGACGGTTTATAAACAAACAGAAAATTGATGTTGCGCTAATCACAATAATGCCACAGACATTCCAAGACAAATAATGAGATGAGAAGACAATAGATAATACACCATAACATAATCAGTAAATGGAAGGAATATGGGAGTGAAGGGAAAGGTGAAATAATAAAGGTCCAAAATGAGGACCAAAAGGTGTAACTGACAATAAATTGTGACAGTGGGCAAAATGCACGGAAATGATCAGGGAAAAAAAATATATTAACTAAATCACAGTAATAGTGGGACATATGAGTCCGTCATAACATAAATGAAATAACGTGAATACAACTGATGAGAAAGTGGAGCAAAATGTGAAAAATACAAAATGAAGAGCTTAAATAGTAAAAGTGGACAAACCACTTATCACAGAAGAATGACAATAGCAACGCACAGTGAGACCAAAAAGTGTGACCATGCAACTAAAGGATCATAACATAGTATGCACCAAAAGGCCATGTGACATAAAACGACTAATAAGTGACCATATAAATACTATAAATAAATGTGGCACACATATAAAGAGTGCAACTAGTATAAAATAGAAAATGGTGATATAAACGCACAGTGAAACCAAATGAATGTATTACTGTGCAACGTAAAATACAATAACACAATGAAGAAATAAATAACATGTGACTAAAAAAAATATCATAAATGCAACATAAAGTCCATGTGCAAAAACGTCCAACAAAATCTCATCCAAAAAAAAAAAAAACAACATGGATAGGTAAATCACATGTGAATTCTGTGCAGTACGATGTGAGCCATACACTTTGTATGACTCAAATTGCACCGCACTAAAAAAGGTACAGGACCCTTTTTCTGGTCCACACAAGAAACGTTTCGCATGGGTATTCTGCACATTGCACTGCATTTTGTGAACCAAATTCGGGGTGTTGTTAACACATACGAGCGGTTCGCATGAACGGGGTGCGATTGTGATGCGGTGCGGAATTCGCACAAACACCGCATCAGTGTGAACCAGGGCTGAAGGTCTACAGGAATTCTCCGCATTGAGAATGCAGATAGAAATACAATCCTGACTAACCGCTAACCTTTCCGCACTCTACTAGGAAGTGTTTTTCTTACTGCCTGTGTCCCCTTTGGGGAGATTTCTCCTCACTTCCTGTGTCCCGGGAGATAATTTAATGCAGAATGTTCATGCTTGAATGCAACATACCTTTAATTGCTGTTCCTTTCATTTAATGTATGCATCTAGAACATGTTCTTGGATCATTATCTACTGGCGGGCTTATCTACTCAGACTATAAACAGCTTTATGAAAATAGAGACGCTTTCTCCCTAAAGGATACTTAGTGGTTTAACACAGTGAGAGAGTTTGCTAAGGTCAATTTATCACCGTCTACATTAATATACTAAAGCATCACTTATTGAAGCTGCTTGGATCCCTACGTGCCAAAATGCTGGGCTGCAGCTATATAAACAACAATTTGAGCAAATAACATCCACAGGAAACACTGCCAGGTCTTTTCAGTAAGATATCCCTTTAAGCTGGCATTGTTAAATGTATCGAAAAGTGTTTTTTTTTTGGGGGGGGGCTTTCACATTTTATATGCTTGTATTAAAATATATTTTTGATAAATGATGCTTTCTTTTGGTTACTTTCTCTAGCGGCTGGTTGCTACATATCGAAAGAAACATATAGAAATAACACAATAGTGTAATGGTTACCGGTCAGTATGATTATGTTTTAACTATTTAAAGCAGAATTTCTGCCAAAAACGACAAAATAAAAATAATGTGTTGATTAATAGATAAAATAAAAAAGAAACTGCTGCAATAGTCACCTTCAATCTATAGCTATCCTCAGCAGTACTACCGTTTTAACACTAGATGTCGCCAGTCTGGCAGATCCTTCAACCCACTGAACCTAGGGTGTCATGGACCTGCCTCCAGCCTGTCACTGTGCTTTTTCCTCCTATAAGTATGCTTGTAAGCACACTAACTGATTGGATCTTTGTGCTGCTTCTACCTCTCACTAGCATTACTCCCACAGGGACTGGAAGAGGGTGACACCAGGTCCAGGTCCAAATACACTATTTACATTGTTCTGACTCAACCACAGGATGATAAACTTTATCTCCAACGATGTATACAGCTATACGACATGGTGTTGAATTTATCTCTTGCATTGGGTCAGACAGTTTAACTCAATGAATAAACTCACATGTTGAGGAAGTCAGTTGAGGAAAACTATTTGAATGTTCCATTTAATGAAGAATAATCATAGGTAGAAAACCATTAATGTTGTAAGCCTCATGGAAAGATGCATTCAGGAAGACAGGATACAGTGGAATGATTACAGAGAGAGGCAGGAGGTGAGAGAAAGAGCTAAGTTTAGACAGGAGGAGGCAGCTTAAAGATACAGAGCAATAATAAACAGGTGATGGTCACAGAGAAATAATAATAAATCAAATAGTGTAACACAACATGCATAAAAAAAAATACATGTTGATTTATTAACTGCTTCCCGACCGCCCTATAGCAGAACTACTGCTACAGGGCAGCAGGGCTGCACAAAATCACATATATATACGTGATTTTGTATTTCCGGGTATTTCCATTGGCTGCTACAGCTGTCAGTCACTGGGTCTCAGCCAGAGATTCCCCACTGGCACCTGGCGATCCCCGACTATCACTGACAGGGGAGAGGTCTGTATGTAAACAATACAGATCTCTTCCCTGTAAGCTGCAGCATGCTGCTTTGTATTGTTCTGCATAGCAGAGCAATACAAAACAGCATGCCTCCCAAGTAAAGCACACACAGCACACAGTAAAACAGCACACAGTTAAGCCTTCGATTGCCCCCCATGTTAACCCCTTCCTGCCCAGTGCCCTTAGTACAGTGTCATGGCTTTTTATTAGCACTGATCACTGTATTAGTGTCACTGAGAATGTCAGTGGCAGTTAGTCAGTTCCACCCCCAGTGTCAGAATGTCTGCCACAGTCCCTCTATAAGCCGCTGATCGCTGCCATTACTAGTATTAAAGAGAAAAAAAATCCAGTATGTATACCGGCATTTGTAGAACTTTCACATAAACCAATTAATTTACCCATATTGGGATTTTTTTTTAACAAAGACATGTAGCAGAATACATTTTGGCTTAAATTTATGACGCAATTTTATTTTTTATTTTTTTTTTGCTGGACATGTTTAATAGCAAAAAGGCAAAAATATAGTTTTTTTCTCAAAATTGTCAGTATTTTTTGTTTATAGTACAAAAAATTAAAAACGCACAATCATATACCACCGAAAGAAAGCTCCATTTGTGGGGAAAAAAGGGCATACATTTAATTTGGGTGCAGCATTGCATGACCGCGCAATTGTCAGTTAAAGTAACGCAGCGGCGTATCACAAAAAATGGTCTGGTCAGGAAGGGGGGCAAATCCTCTGGAGGGCAAGTGGAGAAAAAACTGTGTATGGTGCAAGCCCCTACAGAATATCTTCCAGGACGAAACATGTCAGGGTGCAGCCTCTACTGAAGTCTTCATGCTGCTGGATTGAGCAGTGGCTGGGTTGTTTGTACCTCTCTTTGTTGCTAATAAAATGTTAAATTGGTTTTATGGTATGGAGCTTATAGTTTGTTTTCTTTGGTGTAATCCTAACACATGCTGAGTGGAGATACTGGCTGCAACTGAATTCCTTTGATCTCTGCTGGGGTTCTGTGTGCTTCTCAATCATCCCAAGGCATTTACAGTGTGTGTGAACTGACCTCTGAAGCTTTGAGGTCTGTTCATCTGGTAAGAGGCTGTCATTTTATACATTGGTGGCCAAGTCACATGGGATTTTGTGAAGTTATCATATCACTGGATCACAACTATATTGGAAATGTTGGACTTACATTATTTTCACTTAAGGCAGTGGTTCTCAACCTTTCTAATGCCGCGACCCCTTAATACAGTTCCTCATGTTGTGGTGACCCCCAACCATAAAATTATTTTTGTTGCTACTTCATAACTGTAATTTTGCAGTGGGAGGAGTAGTGCCACGTCATTGGTGTCAGTGGGAGGAATAGTGTCCCATCAATGATGTCAATGGGAGGAATAGTACCCCATCATTGGTGTCAGTGGGAGGAATAGTGCCCCATCATTGGTGTCAGTGGGAGGAATAGTGCCCCATCATTGGTGTCAGTGGGAGGAATAGTGCCCCATCATTGGTGTCAGTGGGAGGAATAGTGCCCCATCATTGGTGTCAGTGGGAGGAATAGTGTCCCATCACTGATGTCAATAGGAGGAATAGTGCCCCATCATAGGTGTCAGTGGGAGGAATAGTGCCCCATCATTGGTGTCAGTGGGAGGAATAGTGCCCCATCATTGGTGTCAGTGGGAGGAATAGTGCCCCATTGGTATCATTGGGAGGAATAGTGCCCCCATCATTGGTGTAGTGCCCCAACATGGTGTCAGTGGGGGGAATAGTGCCCCATCATTGGTGGGGTCAGTGGGAGGAATAGTGCCCCAATAGGTGTCAGTGGGAGGAATAGTGCCCCATCATTGGTGTCAGTGGGAGGAATAGTGCCCCATCATTGGTGTCAGTGGGAGGAATAGTGCCCCATCATTGGTGTCAGTGGGAGGAATAGTGCCCCATCATAGGTGTCAGTGGGAGGAATAGTGCCCCATCATTGGTGTCAGTGGGAGGAATAGTGCCCCATCATTGGTGTCAGTGGGAGGAATAGTGCCCCATCAGGGTGTCAGTGGGAGGAATAGTGCCCCATCATTGGTGTCAGTGGGGGGAATAGTGCCCCATCATTGGTGTCAGTGGGAGGGAATAGTGCCCCATCATTGGTGTCAGTGGGAGGAATAGTGCCCCATCATTGGTATCAGTGGGAGGAATAGTGCCCCATCATTGGTGTCCCAGTGGGGGGGAGGAATAGTGCCCCATCACTGGTGTCAGTGGGAGGAATAGTGCCCCATCATTGTGGTGGGGGAATAGTGCCCCATCATTGGTGTCAGTGGGAGGAATAGTGCCCCATCATTGGTGTCAGTGGGAGGAATAGTGCCCCATCATTGGTGTCAGTGGGAGGAATAGTGCCCCATCATTGGTATCAGTGGGAGGAATAGTGCCCCATCATGGTGTCAGTGGGAGGAATAGTGCCCCATCATTGGTGTCAGTGGGGAGGAATAGTGCCCCATCATTGGTATCAGTGGGGGGAATAGTGCCCCATCATTGGTGTCAGTGGGAGGAATAGTGCCCCAACTGGTGTCAGTGGGAGGAATAGTGCCCCATCACTGGTATCAGTGGGAGGAATAGTGCCCATCATGGTGTCAGTGGGAGGAATAGTGCCCCATCACTGGTGTCAGTGGGGGAATAGTGCCCCATCATTGGTGTCAGTGGGAGGAATAGTGCCCCATCATTGGTGTGGGAGGAATAGTGCCCCATCAGTGGGAGGAATAGTGCCCCATCATTGGTATCAGTGGGGGAATAGTGCCCCATCATTGGTGTCAGTGGGGGGAATAGTGCCCCATCATTGGTGTCAGTGGGGGGAATAGTGCCCCATCATTGGTAGTCAGTGGGAGGGAATAGTGCCCCATCATTGGTGGGGGAATAGTGCCCATCAGTGGGGGGGAATAGTGCCCCATCATTGGTGTCAGTGGGGGGAATAGTGCCCCATCACTGGTGTCAGTGGGAGGAATAGTGCCCCATCATTGGTGTCAGTGGGAGGAATAGTGCCCCATCATTGGTGTCAGTGGAGGAATAGTGCCCCATCATGGTGTCAGTGGGAGGAATAGTGCCCCATCATTGGTATCAGTGGGAGGAATAGTGCCCCATCATTGGTGTCAGTGGGAGGAATAGTGCCCCATCACTGGTGTCAGTGGGAGGAATAGTGCCCCATCATTGGTGTCAGTGGGAGGAATAGTGCCCCATCATTGGTGTCAGTGGGGGGAATAGTGCCCCATCATTGGTGTCAGTGGGGGGAATAGTGCCCCATCATTGGTGTCAGTGGGAGGAATAGTGCCCCATCATTGGTGTCAGTGGGGGGAATAGTGCCCCATCATTGGTGTCAGTGGGGGGAATAGTGCCCCATCATTGGTGTCAGTGGGAGGAATGCCCCATCATTGGTGTCAGTGGGAGGAATAGTTGCCCCATCATTGGTGTCAGTGGGGGGAATAGTGCCCATCATTGGTAGTCAGTGGGAGGAATAGTGCCCCATCATTGGTGTCAGTGGGAGGAATAGTGCCCCATCATTGGTGTCAGTGGGAGGAATAGTGCCCCATCATTGGTATCAGTGGGAGGAATAGTGCCCCATATTTGTCAGTGGGGGGAATAGTGCCCCATCATTGGTATCAGTGGGAGGAATAGTGCCCCATCATTGGTGTCAGTGGGAGGAATAGTGCCCCATCATTGGTATCAGTGGGAGGAATAGTGCCCCATCATTGGTGTCAGTGGGAGGAATAGTGCCCCATCATTTGGTATCAGTGGGAGGAATAGTGCCCCATCATTGATGTCAGTGGGAGGAATAGTGCCCATCATTTGTATCAGTGGGAGGAATAGTGCCCCCATCAGTAGGTCAGTGGGAGGAATAGTGCCCCATCATTGGTGTCAGTGGGAGGAATAGTGCCCCATCATTGATGTCAGTGGGAGGAATAGTGCCCCATCATTGGTGTCAGTGGGAGTGCCCCATCATTGATGTCAGTGGGAGAATAGTGCCCCATCATTGGTGTCAGTGGGAGGAATAGTGCCCCATCATTGGTGTCAGTGGGAGGAATAGTGCCCCATCATTGGTGTCAGTGGGAGGAATAGTGCCCCATCATTGGTGTCAGTGGGAGGAATAGTGCCCCATCATTGGTGTCATGGGAGGAATAGTGCCCCATCATTGGTGTCAGTGGGAGGAATAGTGCCCCATCATGGTATCAGTGGGGGAATAGTGCCCCATCATTGATGTCAGTGGGAGGAATAGTGCCCCATCATTGGTATCAGTGGGGGGAATAGTGCCCCATCATTGATGTCAGTGGGAGGAATAGTGCCCCATCATTGGGGGAATAGTGCCCCATCATTGATGTCAGTGGGAGGCCCCATCATTGGTCTCAGAGGGGGAATAGTGCCCCATCATAATAGTGCCCCATCATTGATGTCAGTGGGAGGAATATTGCCCCATCATTGGTGTCAGTGGGAGGAATAGTGCCCCATCATTGGTGTCAGTGGGAGGAATAGTGCCCCATCATTGGTGTCAGTGGGAGGAATAGTGCCCCATCATTGGTGTCAGTGGGAGGAATAGTGCCCATCATTGGTGTCAGTGGGCGCAATATTGCCCCATCGTTGGTGTCAGTGGGGGGAGGAATAGTGCCCATCGTTGGTGTCAGTGGGGGGGAGGAATAGTGCCCCATCGTTGGTGTCAGTGGGGGGAGGAATAGTGCCCCATCATTGGTATTAGTGACACCAATGATGGGGCACTATTCCTCCCACTGACACCAATGATACTTACCTTGCTGACCCCTGCTCCAGCCTGGGCTCGCTCGCTCCCTCCCTCTCCCTTGGTACAGACACTTACCGGTCAGATGTCTTCCTTCTCCGGCCGCTCTCCTCCTCTTCACTCGCTCGATCTTCGCGGTGCTGCTCGGCTCCTCCTCTCCAAGCTCCACCTCCTCGCCCGGTGATTGGCCGCCTGTGTGCCTCTTTTGAGCTGCAGTTCCGGCGGCCAATCACCGGCGAAGGATTGATCCCGGGGGTGTGCCCAGATGACAGGGACGGCATGTCATCCCGCCCACACCTGGAGACAGATAGAGGAGCGGTGTCTCGGTTCCTAAGGCCATCGGAAATATGTGTTTTCCGATGGTCTTAGGCGACCCCTGTGAAAGTGACGTTCGACCCTCAAAGGGGTCGCGACCCACAGGTTGAGAACCGCTGACTTAAGGGTATTATGTATGTTCTATTAATTTAAACGTTAATTTATGCTTTTAAATGATTTGTATATAAACGGCCGGACGGTGGC